GAAACAGCCTCCCTACTTCCTAGTAGGGGCAAGGTCTGCGTACACACACCCTCCCCAGACCCTACTGTTGTGGGATTCAACTGGGTTGTTGTTGTTATTGTTGCTTGGTTCACAAACTTCACAAACTTACTATTTGTGAACTCAAATAAAAAAAATTAAATAGTCAAAAATAATTTTAAAATGAGAATTTAAACCATATATAGTAAGTTTGTGAAGTTTGTGACCATTCTGTTTGTGAACGTAGCATTACTCTTTAAAATTACTTTGTACATATTTATAAAGGACACAATTCTGTTGACTGGCCAACGGTATCACTCCGGTGTAATTGCATTTTTGGATCACGCTCTGTTTACAAAATTTATAGTTCCTACCCTACCTAACCCTTTATTCAAACTGGGACTTCAAATCTTTATTTTTTTAATTTTTTTACTACACATTTTGTAAAAATAAATTAGTAAGACTTCATTAATTAATTAGATCTAAACAATAAAAATTCATTAAATAAAAAAAATACATTCAATAAAAAATATTAAATTAAAAAAATTACATTAATAAAAAAACTAAAACACATTGTATTTCACCTTGATCTCGTTTTGTCTTCTCTCGTAATTCATGCATTTGAATCCTGTTAACGTATCAAGATCAGTTTCTATCATTTCGACCTCCTGCTTCTCTACCTTTCGTTTCTCCCTCTCTTCTTTCCTAAGATTGAACGCTCGTAGTTGTTCAACCATTCCTTGTTCATCGCCGGAACCAACTTGGGGTCTTCCAGATTCATCGAGGTTTGCGTATCGAAAACGTTGAATTATTCCCGTACATTTGGTAAAGCCACATCGTACTTGTTTAACTCAAAACCGGACGCAAGAATGGAAGAATCAAAGAGACTCATGATAAAAATAAGAGAAAAACTTGAGGATTCTTTTTTTATGAAAGAAGAAAGATTTGTATTTGTGTGTTTTATTTTTTAAAGAGATCAGAGAAACAATTTGTAGAGGGGGAATTTTTTTAATATGTAATGGCATTATAGCCGTTGGAAGGGAGGGGAGTTGCTAATCATTTGCTTCATTCGTCCGTTAAACATTTGACAGGGATTTGATGCCGCCCGGATAATGCGCTTGGGGGTGATGTTTAATGTCTCATGGCGTTACTGGTATTTCTAGTGCCCTTAGAGCATCACTAATCATTCCTCTCTACTCTACTTTCACATTATCTACTCCTAATACCACATCACTTTCACCTTCAACTTTCCCTACCCTTCTCTAATCATTTTCCTACTTTTTAAATTAGTTTTTTCCTCATGCCATCTTATTTGTACAAAAAATAAGAAAACACAATAAAAACATTTGACCAATCAATTATTTACGCAGTTAGCAAATGCAAAGAATGCCAAGGGATAAAACATGAGTTTGATTCCTGACAACTATATTGGGAGGCAACTATGCTAAACATAAAATCTCTGCAAATACCAGGTTCATGCTCCACTCTTTGCCACTAATCTGCGATCAAAGTCTAATTTATCACCTCTCGGTGACCGTCCAATCGGGTCTGAGGGGGCCCTCGGAGATGTGGCTCATCCTTTCTTTCTGGCCTTCTATCCTTTCTAATCATTCTTTTCTTATTTCCTCCTCCACATCATCCTCTTCCTCCCTTCATTCCACCCCATTAGTGATGCATTTAGAGCATCTTTGGTGGAGGGAGAATGAGAGGAGAATAAGATGATGTGAAAGGGGAAATGAGAGAAGAATGATTAGAGAGTTGAGAGGAGTAGAAGAGAGAGAAGAATATGGAGGAATATTAATCCCCTGGAGAGAGAACGTCTTTTAATAATACATTGTATTTTTAATTTTTTGTGCACCAATGGTTGGATGACAAGTGTAAAAAAATATAGTAAAAAAGGTAGATTATGGTGAAGAATATTGAAGAGGTAAATGATGTAGTATTAAAAACAGATGATGTAAGAGAAGAGTAGAGGAGAATGAGTAGTGATGCTCTTATGTGGTGTGGTAATTTATATGATTTTCTTATTTGAAAAAGTAGAAGACATTTTTTGCGCCTTGAGTGAGGTTTGGAACTTTGTTATATGTGCAATATCATATTTAGATCAGACCAAAGTAATTTTTGAACTCTTTAGCTTGTTGTAGGGACAATCTCTTCTCTTTCTTTCTTTTTTTTGAAAGCAAAACTCAGACCATTTCTTGATTTGTGCATGGGGTTTATTGCACCAACACACCATGTGGTTTGCTAAATGTGCACTGTTATCCCTCATGGTTTTAAAACTTATATCGTTATCCCTTATGGTTTTGATATTGTTACGACGTCAATGTCTCTCTGGACCAAAGTATCTTTCAAAATTAGCAAAATAACAATAAATTAAAAAAAAAAAAAAAAAGAAAAACAATAAAGAAAAAGGGGACGTTTATGCTAGTTTCCAAAACCATAGGGGGGAGTGAAGCTATTCTCATAATATTTGAAGGATATTTTAGTCTAGAATGTCATTGACGTAGCAATATCACAACCAAGAGGGGTAACAGTGTAAGTTTTGAAACCATAAGAGATAATGGTGGATATTTTAGTCTAGAATGGCATTGACGTAGCAATATCATAATTAACCAAGAGGAGTAACGGTGTAAGTTTTGAAACCATAATGGATAACGATACACATTTAGGGGGTCATGATTAATAAACTTTTTGTGTATGTATCATCTTGCGCAAGGGCCATGCTAATCTTCTTTCTATCGTTCCAATTTTATCGGATGTCCCCCAAGGGACTTGTACAGAATATCTCTACATTGAAGTTTTAATTTGATCTCACATACTTTACAGTAAAAATAAAAAATTTATTTATGTTATAAAATGAGAGAAAAATTACTCAGAAATTATGAAGATAAATATGATAAATTTATGATTTCTTCTCTATATTAATTCTTCACTCTTCTCCTTATTGTTAATGGTCTTTTGGAGGGATCCTAGGCCTCATGTTTATAGTGGTGAGGCTCAGTGGTAACAATATTAGAAATAGTATACATACTATACAAATAGCAACTTGATGGTGATGATAGACAATTTGTTCCTGCAACTATGATGGAACATGACCTAATCAATTGATAAATGAATAATTCATCTATTTCTTAACACTCCCCCCTGAATTTTTATTTTTCAATTGATGATAGGTACTTTGTGAAATGGGCATAGTTTTGAAACTCATCTTAAATTTATGTACTGCCTCATCAAAAAACTTTATCCAAAAAAACCCAATGGGATAAAAACCTGATCAAGGAAAAAAGAGTGCAGTGAATAAACTTCTCCACCTCAGCTAAGCATATTTGACGGAGGAGACGCATGTCAATCTTGTGTACAAGTTCTTCAAAAAAAATTTGGGAGCAATGCTTTTGTAAATAAATCAGCATGTACAAAAAAACAATTAATTTAAAAACAATTAATTTGAATTTAAAAAAACAATGCACGTAAGTACGTCACACTAATTTGAATTTCGATTTTTCTAGTTGGTGATTTTCATATTTAGCCTTTTATTCTATGATATTACCTTTGTAGTAATCGCTTTTTGAAAATATTCCAAAGTCATTCATTTATAGGCCATATGTGGATAAAATATTTGGCCATATTTGGTCTAAAGAACTAAGGCCCTTCGTTATGGGGCGTGTCCCCAGAGCTTCACCATCCCTCACGCCCTCTGTCACGCTCTTCCGCCATACCTGAAGGGGCGTGGCCCCTTGCTTGGTGATGGCAATCCCGCCCTAGTGACTCCCTAGCATTATACAAATAGGATATTCTATTTTTGTGTATCCCTAGCATTATTGGATTTTGTAATTACTACCTCCGTCTCACTCTTTTTGTCCAGTTTTGACTTTTAGAACTGTTCATCTAAGCACTTTGACTCATCAAATTCTCTCAATGTGTAAGTCTAGGGATGACAATTCTATCCGAATCCGATTTTTACCGACCCGACCGGAGGTTATTATATCCGAATCCGAACCGAAAAATTAAATATCTGAAACCGACTCGAAAAAAATTAAACCGAACCCGACTTTTGTCGGGTTGGGTTTGGGTTAGTATATTTGACCGACCCGACCTGTACCCGAACCGACCCGACATGTACCCGACTTTCAATAAGTTTTGAATAACTCTAAATTCCTATATTTCATGTATTTTTTATGCACATATTTTTAATATTTTAAAACTTATTACATTTTTTATGTTTCATTTTTTATTGTGGTTTAATATTGTGTGTCCCACATGTGCTATTTTCATTGTACACCATATATTATTAATTAAAACTTAATATTGTTTGTTCCACACGCGCGGGAAGACGAAGCGATTGCAGATTTCTAGTCTGACGTCGCCCCCAACGAGATTGGACGACTTCCGTTTGACATCTTTAAGGGTTATTCGGTCATAATTATTTTTGATAATATCTTAAATTTTATATCATCTTTAAAATTTTTAATTTCTAATGCATTACAATCTTAAATTTTTCATGAATAGTTTAAATAGTATTCAAACCCGAAATTGACCGTAACCGACCCGACCGAATCTTAAACCGAATCCGAACCGAAAAAAATAAATATCCGAAACCGACCCGCCAAAATCAAACCCGAACCCGACCTAAGTTAGGTCGGGTTTTAATATACTCAAACCCGACCGAACCCGACCCGTTGCCATCCCTATGTAAGTCTAAAAATAGTCATGTGTGATCTTGTTTGATTTGTCTTAACATATAGATTATTAATATATAATTTTTATAATTTTTTAATATACAAATTACAAGATAAAATGTATTAAAGAAGTGCATTGGATGATGTGCAAAAATGAAAGTGGACAAAAAGAATGGGACGGAGGGAGTATTATGTTGGTCACAAATAAAATTAAAACAATAATTTTGATACGGAAGCTGACACTTTGTAAAAAATTTAATGGTAAAGTGCAATAAAAAACTGTGTACATGAGCGTTGGTTGGTGACTTCTCCTGTCCTTCATATTAGTCGTTCATTCAAACTCCGCATTTCATAACCCAGCGTTCGATCTACGCTCTGCACATTTCAAAAGTATAAATTTTATATACAGAGAATCCCGAATTTGACTGTTCTGCAGAAAACTCCATGGAAAGGTGATTCTGCGGTCCTTCCTTTACTACGGAGTATTTCTCTTTTGAATTTGCACATATGTATGCGTTATTCCATTCGTGTTTAGATCTGAGTTTCCTCTTTCGTTACCTTTTGTCTGTGTTCTTCGATTTCTTTTTATTTGATTGGGCACAATTTCCTGGAGACGCCAATGAATTCCCAGAGCCTTTGATTCGATGTGTTCTTGTGTGCATTGTTGTTTTGATGTTTTTGATCTCGTTATGGATATCCTATTAATGTGGAACTGGAGATGATGACTACTTTGCATATAAACAGTCTGTAGGAAGCCATTGTTCGGATTCGATTATTTAACATTTTAAATTCATTTCGATTATTCCATATGAGATTTAGAATTGACTACTTGAGGTTGTTCAATTCAAGCATGGGTTGTTTTTTTTTAATTTCAAGAATTCTATGATTGAAGAAAATATGCATTTAGATAGTTGACAGTAGTGATTAGCCTGATGAATTGATATGTAAATGAATACCATTTCATATAAAACTATATCTACTATGAAGTACTTTACTACCTTTAGCTTGACTGGACATAGAGCTTACAAAAATGAAATATACTCCGTATGTGTTTATGATAATGTGGACCACAAGTTTTTTTCCTTGAAAGGAAGTTGGCCAAGGTTTTTGGGACTAATGGAAAAAGAAGAAATCTGTTGGTGTTAAGGAAAAAATATAGTAATTTGTCCCCTATGACCGGAATCAGTTATCCATTTTCTCTAAAATTCCACTTTTAATAAGTGATTTTAAAATGTTAATTGACTTCTTAAATTGAGTTTGTTACTCATTCATGTCAGTTATGCTCATAGTCTATGTCTAGGATATTTTAGACGATCCATTATAATTTCTTAATTGAATATGGAAAATAGACAACTAATTCTTGACAAACAAAAGCAAGAACATCAAAATCTAACAGACTCCGTATTCTTTGCTGGCACTAGTTCTTGTCTTGCGCGACTTGTTCCACTTGAAGCAGTATTATTCGACATTGATGGAACTTTATGTGACACTGATCCAATCCACCTTAATGCATTTCGCGTAATGCTTCAAGAGGTATGTATTATCTCGTCTGCTTTTGTTTACCAAAGGGTCTAATATTGCCAATGTGAATGGCGATTCAAGGGTTTGCCTAACGCAGATAGGCTACAATGATGGCGTACCGGTTGATGAGGAATTTTTTATCAAAAACATTTCTGGCAAACACAATGATGACATTGCTGCTTTCCTTTTCCCCGATGATCATGCAAGGGGTCTAAAATTCATGGAGGATAAAGAAGCTCTGTTTCGAAGGTATTCCTAGTTGACCCTAATTTGTGTGAGAGGGGTCTAAAATGTACTTTTCAAGTCTGTTTTTTGAAAGGTGTTTATTTCGACCTTTATGGTCTGTTTGGAATGTGCAAACTGGAAAAAACTAGGGAAATAAAACAGAAATGAAAACATAGAGGAAAAAGGGGATGTAAAAAATAATGGGAAGATAAAGGACAAACTCAAAATCAATTAACTGGTTTTAGATATATGCAAAAACATGAGATAATTCTTTCAAACTCAAACTCAAACTTGTTTTATTTTTTATTCTTATACCAATTTTTAAATAAAATGATTTCATAAAAAACAAGAGTTTACCTCGTAAACAATTTTGGGATGGAGGGAGTACATATTTTAGACATTAATAAGTAATCATGTTTCATTTTCCTACGCATATATGAATATAAAGCCAACCGCAAAAATAATCTTTCCTTAGCATTTGCTTTTCTATCTCTAACATATTTGCTGATCCAAACATAACTTTAAACTACCACTTTATTCTTTAATCCCAACTTCCATCTCACAACTGTACAGATTGGCAAGGGAAAACCTGAAGCCCATTGATGGCTTAGACAAGGTGAAGAACTGGATTCAAGATCGCGGCTTGAGACGAGCCGCAGTAACAAATGCACCCAGGCCAAATGCTGAAATGATGATCCAAGTACTAGGCCTTGCAGACTTCTTTGAAGCTGTTATAGTCGGGAGCGAGTGTGTGCGTGCAAAACCATTTCCTGACCCATACTTGAAGGCGCTCGAAGTCCTCAAGGTTTCCAAGGACCATACCATAATTTTCGAGGTTTGATTTCTCATAAAACCATGCTCCCTTTCTGTTTTTTTTTCTTTTCAAAATTTTATAAAACTTTTCAATTTTCTTTTAGGATTCCGTTTCGGGAATAAAAGCTGGGGTGGCTGCCGAGGTGGCCGTTATTGGCTTGACCACTCAAAATCCTGCCCATTTACTGATGGAAGCAAAGCCTGCACTCCTCATCAAAGATTATGCAGATCCTAAACTATGGGCAGTTCTTGAAGGTATTGATAAAAATGCTTGTACACGGATTACCGCGTAAGAATTGCATTTTATGCATTGATATACAATAAAACTGAAGCTAGTTCAGCAAATACTTCATATTCAAGGGGAGTTCTCCAGTGTAGGACCGGTGCTCCGGTGATATATTTTTTCGATATATTTTGATGAGTAGATGAAAATGAATAAAAGATGTTTGGTATGGTATCAACCATATACTTTATTTTGGTTATCCTTTACAGTAGTTTTTATATTCAGGAGTGCTACACATCTTTAAAGAAACACTACTGTTTCATTGTTTGATACTCCCCTCTGTCTCCCATACTTATTTTTCTATTCTCTTTTTGAATTGTCCAAAAAAAGAATCCACTTTCCTTAAGGAAAAAGTGGATTGGTTTTTATATTTCTTTTTCCTTTATGAAAATTATGAAACAGTGGGAATATCACTGAAAATATGGCGTAATACGCACTATGCTTTGCTTCAACAAATGATCTTTGTTGTCAAATTTGGTGTATGGGTCAGGCCAATATCATTTGGGCTCCGTTTGTTACATGGAATCCAAATTTTGAATTTGGAAGTGGAGACAATAATTCTAATTCTGCTGTTTGATAGCACAAAAATGTGTAGATTTGCAATTGGCAGTGCCAAATATGAACTGGAATTGGAGAATTTGTTTTCATTCAAATCAATTCTATAGAATTTCAATTTTCAATTCAATTCCTATTCCGTTAATTTTGTGTATCAAACAAACCCTGGGTGAAGAGAGTCCATTCTAGTTTCAAAGATATTTTTCCAATCAATTTTGAAGGGTTAAGTTACAAGAGTCGTTGAAACTTGAAAGCCGCCAAAATAGATAATTGAAAGTTGAAAACTATCAAAGATTTCGTAATGGAGTAGCATAATTCATAAATTGAGTTTTCCAACTTTTGCTTCAATCGTTTCCTTACATTATGTTTGGTTTAAAAAATTTGAAAAATAAAAGAAGAAAAGAATAATGATAGGATATCACTCCATGGATGCTATCATTGATGCCCACATGCTTCTCACACACATAGACGAAGACGATTATCGTCTGTATCGCATAAACGATTATCGTCTGTGTATGTCTCTGAGAAGCATGAGGGCCCAAAAAAAGATAAATTATGTTTTTGGTCCTTGTAAAATGAGTGATTTTTGTTTTAAGGCCTAAAATATTTTTTAAATTAAAATATCTCTATAAAATACGAAGTATTTGTTTTTTGCAAATGGTCCTCCCATAAATTTAGAGTTAATTTTTCAAGATCTAAAAGGAGCAAAAACAAAATCATTTTGGATTTAAAATATTTTAGGGACCAAAAACAAAATCACTCATTGTGTAGGGACTAAAAACAAACTCAACATTAACTCTATAGTAAAAATATATAGTGAAATGACTATTTGCAAACAAAAACAATTACAGGAGATGATTTTAAAAAAATTAAAGGGACTAAAAGCAAAAATCATTTGTTTTATAGAGACCCCCAAAAGCATATACTTCGTATAACCCAAGAAAATTGAGATGGAAACTCATTTTTCATATTTGGTTAAAGAGAAAAAGAAAAGTAAAGTACCAGGGAAAAAAATTGATAAGCTAAAATAAGCTAAGAAAAGGGAAATCACGATTCTATCCATTTTGGAGAAGAAAATGTGAGAAATAATTTTCTTTTTCTTTCCTTCTTAAATCCTTGAACCAATCGGCATTTGTTTACATATCCGAAACAAGTAGTGTATTTTTTGTTTTGGATATTATATCTGCGTCAATTATGGCTAAATTCACGCCTTTTATGTTAAATAAATCAATTTAACCTTAAAATTTAGCTTGCATCTAAATTCTCTCTTTCGTATTTTAAGAATAAAATTGAATTAAACATAAATAGAGTGGTTTAGCCAAAATTGATGAGAATATAGCAACACCCTTTTTTGTCATTTTTCTTTTTCTATGCAAAAATATGAACAAATGCAAAAGAATGTAGGCATCCTTATCTCGACACGTAGAAAATGATTATCTAGCATATATGAAAGTCCACTATAGACATTGAGCTTTATGTCCATCTACACCTAATAAAAAATGACCCGACTTGTTTTTGACCCGAAACCCAATCAGAAAACACTAGGTTTTGAATAAGATTTTGATGACCGAACCCGAAGTTGACTGAACCCAAAATAACCCGCTAAAAATGGGTTAAACCCGACCGAACCCGAACTCGACCTGATCGACCCGCTACAGTAAGAATTTTTCAAAATCATATACTTTCCTACTTGTTTTTAGTGTATGAATTTATATTTTCAGACAAAGTTTTAATGATATTGCATAATTATCTTACTTTTTGCAAAACGTAATCATTTTTTAAAATAGAAAATATAAGTGTTAATGTATGTGATTTTAAAATTTTAAAAAACCAAAGTCATAACCCGTTGGGTCGACCCGTATCCGATGACACTGGGTCATGAACATACAGTTCTCAACCCGACCCGAATTGACCCGAATCCAAAATAACCCGAATTCGAAGTGACCGAACCCGACCTGACTAACCGATTTGCCAGCTCTAGGTCCATCAAAGAATATGCCTATTTTGGCATGTTAGATGCAAATTTTTGATATTTTATGTCTTCTTAAAGCCTGTTCTTTAGAGCTTGAATTCTTAACTTTCAATTTCTTCCAGTTCCTACCAGTTCTTTCTAGTTTCTTCCAATTTCTTACCATTCTTTCAGTTTTTTCCAATTCCTTTCCTTCCAGTTTCTTCGAACTATTTTTATTTTCTTCAAACTCTTTCTGCTTTCTGAAAAAATCACTCTAAAACAATATTATTATTATTATTATTATTATTATTATTATTATTACAAATATTATGTTCATAACTATAGTTTATAAATTATTTTATTTTTCATCTCACTATTTTTGTGATTCACACTCATTATTATTTTTTCTTCAACTTTTTAATATGAATAATATTATTATTTTTTATTCATCTTCATGATAAAATAGGAAAACATCAATATTTTAAACTGTTTAAAAAAATTGTGGATAAAATAGTTAGAATGTTTTTTTAATCTAAATTTATATAAGGTAAACATCAATATTTTAATCTAAAATATAATAATGGAATAGGGGTGGGAAGTACTAATTTATGAAAATTAAGAGAGACCTACATTTTGAAAAAGAAAAAAATGACCCAAAAAGTGTAAAAAAGAAGTTCAGATAACAAATATATCACCAATAATTAAAATACAACTAACAAAAACTTTATACTTTTGAAAGTCAATTTATACAACTAAAAAAAAATTTATACTTTATTACTCAATTTTTTCTCTTTTTTATTTATTTCAAAAATTAATTTTGTCTTTCATTATACTAATTTTTATAAAAATTTTGAAAGTCAAAGTAATGACTAAAGTAGGAGTAAAACATAAAAAAAATATTTAAAAAAAGTTCTATGTCTTTATTATAGAAGTAGGGTTACAATGAAAATAAAATGTCAATCATTAAAGAAAAAATAGTTTTAATTAGATTATGTGACATGTCTGATATTTAAAACAAAATCTTTTAATATATATAATATAATTGCAAATATATTATTTTATGATAAATACTGCATAGCCATAATAACTTTTAAGTATTTAACATTTTGATATTTATGCTAATTTTATATTCTAATTAATTTTTTTAAAAAGTAGTTTTTTTTGTATGAAAAATAACAATATTTTTTTATATCTTAGAGGCATTCATTAAGATAACGTGATGACACCACCACCACCAACTAACAATGACAATAATAATAATATTAATAATAACGATAATAACAATAATAATTTATAACAACAAGAACTAGAATGAGAATAATATAAAAACACACAAAAAAATTTTAAAAGTTTTATTTAGATTTTCTAATTTTTTCTAGATTTTTTAGATTCTTTTAATTTTTTCTAGGTTGTTCCAGTTCCTCTCACTTTCTTCCAGTTCCTTCCATTTCTTCCAGATTCTTCCAATATCCAGTTTTTTTTTCCACTCCTAAAGAACATGCTCTTGAACATAATATGTTAAATACTCAATAGTTTGATGACAATTCATAGGTAAATCGAGCATCAACGAGTTCAAGTATATCATATGCTTGATACTCCGTAATTTTTAAGAATAATATTAGGTCGACTCTAAGGTGTGGGAAAAGATGAAGTCAAGTTTAGAGAGACACATCGAGTGTCCCAAGCCTAATTAATTTCCAAGGGTGAAAAGGTACAAAACTTCGCAAAGCTCCTCCCTCGTAATTGCAAAAGAGAAGTAAAAGAACCTTTCAAGCACATCTCTTTCTTCGTTCGGACAACGTTAATGGCATCTTAATCTTAATCTATACAAAGGTGTGAGGCTGTTTTGAATAGTGTTCCCGCTTAAATTATTTGGGCAAGATCACTGAAAATGGACTGCGTGCTATTGGGTTTCTTTTTCGATTTTGAGGCTAACGATGCAATCTATCACTTCAACCGTCTAGGTCTGTGTATGCACAATATTTTTTAAAGCATTCTCTTCTTTTAAGGTCTAAATCTACTTTATGTCTAATTCAAAATTAAATTTTTAGATTGAAAAAATCTTTAAAGTACTTTGCTGGAAAATGAGGCCTATGATGCCTATTTGCGCAACATCGGTCAGAAAATGTATGAAAAGTCAAAATCTCTTATTGAGCCGCATACCACAAAAAATAGATGTCAAATCAGCATGTCTATCTCTTTTTTTGCTACAGTAAAAGTGAAGATCTTCCAAATCTCTTTTTTTGCACCTAATATATTATTTAAATACAAAAAGTGAAGATCTTACAAATCTTTTATCATTATTACTATGAATAATTAACCTAATTCAAAGTTGCTGATTAAAGTGCCAACAAACCACTTCCCGCATTACAAATAAACTACAAAACCATTACAATGTCTTTCACAACAGGAGCACCCCGTCTCAAATTTAAGAGGTTATATTTTTGCATTAATCAAATTGTACTACTGGGTTCTTTTGTTTCTTTAAAAGTATCCCAACAATAATGCCATTTTATTTGGTTTTTAGATCCTTTTTTAAAGTAAGGATGACAATATTGGCGAAAAGCGGAAAACCATACGTGATATTCTTTAATAATCTTTGCAAATACGGAGTACTTAAATTGCATAGTAGTAAAATCAGCCCGAAGAATGCATTCAAAAATATTTCTTGCAATAAAAGTTTGTAGCATTGCAGTGAAGAACGAAGTCATCCACAAAGGTAGTTTGACAAAATCATACAAGTGTATCAATCAAAAGGTTTAAAAGAGGATTTTTTTTCTTAACTCTTAGAAACAATTTGAGCAAAAACATTCAAGTAAGAAGAGGAAAGCATAAGAAGGTATTTTGAATGATCAAAGCATACATGTAAAACAATGATGCCTGCCGATTAGTTCAACTAATGCACACATATGCACATGGGTATGTACAGGCATATAAGAGGCCTATAATGAAGTTTTTGATGTGTTAAACTTAAAAGCATTAAAAGTAAGCCAACATTTACAAGTACAGTAAAGTAGGGCACACTAATTGACTCATACAGTGAGGCACTAATTGACTCATACAGTGAGGCAAAGAGATTTGTTCAAGAAAATAGTAATAGCTATATGTTTCCAAACATATTCAAAAGGGAATTGGACCGACTTTATTTTCAATTCAATTTATTTGATTGTAGGTATAAAATTAAAAAATAAAATTTATATATTTAAAAGCTACATCGAAAGTTTTACAAAACAAGAGATGACATGACTATATTATTTTATCAAATAACTAACAAAAATAGACAAAGTGATTAAAGTTTACACATCCATTTGGTGATTTCTTCCTAAAAACTTCATATTAATAAGTTGGATGAAAGTTTTATACTCTACGTCTATTTTCTATATCTCATTTCTTCCGGGGTGGGGGTTTTGTTTGCTTCCAAAAAAACGTCACCTATGGACAAACCACATACGGAGTAATTCGTTTTGGGTTCTCATGTTTTTCCTTTGACCGTTGACATTCTTTGTGTTTTGATTTGGGCATTATTGGGCAAAGCTAGAATTTAGAAATCCAACTTGGTATAATTCTAAGCTTGTTGTATAATTTGAAAAGACCAACAAAACCCAGTTTCAAGCAAGTTGGAACAGGAGGATTGCAATGCTTTTTAATCTTCAGAACTAGCTAACAGTGAACTATGGTTGTTTGATTAAGTTACCTTTTAATACAAATGTTCTCATCTCATCTCATCTTGCCAACAACAACGAGTCAATTTCGTCTCGCGCGCATCTGTACAGCTCAAGCCTTCGTGAGCATTTCTGTCTCCTCTCCACCAGCGCTCGGTCTTCGTCTAACATCTGATAAAGCTCTTCATCCTACCATCATCCAATCCAGGCCACATTGTAATGTCAAATAAACAGCAAACAAAACCAGTGGCATTCACTAGGTGGTGCCGAAGTGTGCAGTAATACATTAAAGTGTACGGAATAAATCTTAGTCTGCAAATGATTCTTCAAATTAAAACAGTTATTTTTAATAATACTCCCTCCGTTCCGTATCAAATGTCTATTAACACTTTGTTGATACATTGAAGAATGAATGAATGTAGACATATTTTATGTCTACATTCATTCTTTCTTTAATGTATCAAGAAAGTGGAAATAGACAGTTTCATATGGAGATATCGCATTTTGGTCGCCTCACTATGAGACTGCCCACAGGAGTTTTCCCCAACGATGTTTACTCCATTGTTCGCCTCACTATCTACAATTTTATTGGCTTCCAAAAATGGTCTCACTATGAGTGCTCAACTTGGTAAACATTGTGCGGGGAAAACTTGAAAGAGACACTCTTATAGGGTACAATTAAAAATGGGTTCCAAAATTGAGACACTCACCCCTAAACATGCCCAACAATGTTTACTCCCCCCAATTTGAAAGAGACACTCACCCTAAGATTAATGAGTTCTTAAGGGTTGCACTTATATAAAATAAATACATTAAAAAAAAGGATACACAGACATTTACCTCTCTTCCACCAAGTTGAGCATAAAAATGATCAAGTAAAGAGCGTTTGGCTTCCCGAACTTGACAGTAAACAACAGCTTTTGGTATGCTCTGCTGGAGTGTCTCGCATACCATTCTGGTGTATGCAGAGACATTTGAGCGTATTCTTTTGAAGTGTTCCTCGGTGTGAGTATCAGCAGCAGAAAGAGTTGAACTTCCTGCCTTGTCATCTTCCTGTGGGAGTTTCCGGAAGAAATCCACCGTCAGGTATGAAGATTCCATGTCTACCAACCGGACCACAGTCCTCTTACTATCATCACGGAACCGTTCTAATGCTTCCCCTGCTGCATTTGCGATCTCGGTTTGAAGAGTTGGGAAGCGCCTCAATTCCTGCATTACAAGCAAGGTATGTTTAAAGTAAACACATGTGTTTCCATTTTCAATGAGATTTCTGTTATTAATAAGAAATAGACTAAACAGTAAACACCCTCCTTATCAACAAAACCCACTTCCAAGCAGACTTACAGGTCTTAAGGATATCGGGGTCTACTTTAGAGGGAGACTAAGCGTGTCTAGCAGGAGATTTCAAGAAGAGATTGAAGGGGGGTTGGTTCTTGGCATCACAAACCTGAGTTTCCCCTATTGATTTCCTCACGAGCTCCTTCAAGATGAAGTGCACCTGTAGGAAAAAAGTAGCATTACCAATCAAAAGCTCTATCAATGGCCGAAATAAGGTACAGAACTATCAATAAATAATACAGCACTCACTGCATCAACCGAAGCTTGTGCAGGCCCTCTGAAATAGTTAATGGCACCATCTATGAGGCGCCTGTAACCTTGCTCTGGTGCTATCAAATGAGGTTGGTAGCCATCCGCCACAGAGACAACGTTCCTAATGTTTTGCAGTGAGAGATGTCGATCCAGTGGAAGTTTCCTCAAAGCAGCAGGGAGCTGGTAGTCAAATACTTCATAAATTCGATCACCTCCAGGCCTCCTACAAATCAAATGATAAAGAATGGAAGAGTACTTGATATTCCAATCTCAACCATACTGTGGACACATAATGATTTATTTATTTTTTTGATAAAGTGAACATATTATATTTTGGAATGGATGATCAAGCTATTTGGATAGACAGTTGTTCATGATCAATTAGCTACTTTACTTTTCATCCTTCTTTACATAAACCTTTATTTGGTTTAAGAATGAAAAACCTAATAAAGAAACGAGTGAGAAAGAGGTAAAATAGAGAAATAGTTGCCAAATAGTATAAACTTTGTGACTAATAGAAGTTGATAAGAAATGTGAGGTCCATCATTTCAATTCCTTACTCCTATTTCTTGCTGCAAAACAACAAAATTCTTCATTTATCTCCTACTTTTCTCTGTTTCGTTCGTGCCTATTTCACATAACTCATAGAAAGAAGTAAAGGGAAAATAGAAAACATTTACCCTCCCTCGAGGTGCTCCTTGAATACCCGATCAAATGCACGACAGAGTTCCAAAATAGTGTATAAATGGGCCTATAATGAGAAAACACGAGTAGCTACTGTCAGTCAAGGCTGAAAGCTGGACGGGTGTGGGAAAATTGAAAACATTCTCACCCCTGCATCAATAGCTACAGGTCTGCCAAGATGATTCAATTCTGTTTCAAGCTCATCAGCACTTGTATTAATAAGAGACAATATAGCCGGTAAATGAGCCTTGATCACAGATTCTAGACGCTGTAAAAAACATAGTTGAAAATGATGGCATATGAGTATCCAACTATCCATGTGGTTACATTAATAGGGTGTTTGTTNACCAAGTTGAGCATAAAAATGATCAAGTAAAGAGCGTTTGGCTTCCCGAACTTGACAGTAAACAACAGCTTTTGGTATGCTCTGCTGGAGTGTCTCGCATACCATTCTGGTGTATGCAGAGACATTTGAGCGTATTCTTTTGAAGTGTTCCTCGGTGTGAGTATCAGCAGCAGAAAGAGTAGAACTTCCTGCCTTGTCATCTTCCTGTGGGAGTTTCCGGAAGAAATCCACTGTCAGGTATGAAGATTCCATGTCTACCAAACGGACCACAGTTCTCTTACTATCTTCACGGAACCTTTCTAATGCTTCCCCTGCTGCATTTGCAATCTCGGTTTGAAGAGTTGGAAAGCGCCTCAATTCCTGCATCACAAGCAAGGTATGTTTAAAGTAAACACATGGGTTGCCATTTTCAATGAGATTTCTGTTATTAATAAGACATAGACTAAACAGTAAACACCCTCCTTATCAACAAAACCCACTTCCAAGCAGACTTACAGGTCTTAAGGATATTGGGGTCTACTCTAGAGGGAGACTAAGCGTGTCTAGCAGGGGATTTCAAGAACAGATTGAAGGCAGGTTGGTTCTTGGCATCACAAACCTGAGTTTCCCCTATTGATTTCCTCACGAGCTCCTTCAAGATGAAGTGCACCTGTAGGAAAAAAGTTGCATTACCAATCAAAAGCTCTATCAATGGCCGAAATAAGGTACAGAACTATCAATAAACAATACAGCACTCACTGCATCAACCGAAGCTTGTGCGGGCCCTCTGAAATAGTTAATGGCACCATCTATGAGGCGCCTGTAACCTTGCTCTGGTGCTATCAAATGAGGTTGGTAGCCATCCGCCACAGAGACAACGTTCCTAATGTTTTGCAGCGAGAGATGGCGATCCAGTGGAAGTTTCCTCAAAGCAGCAGGGAGCTGGTAGTCAAATACTTCATAAATTCGATCACCTCCAGGCCTCCTACAAATCAAATGATAAAGAATGGAAGAGTACTTGATATTCCAATCTCAACCATACTGTGGACACATAATGATTTATTTATTTTTTGATAAAGTGAACATATTATATTTTGGAATGGATGATCAAGCTATTTGGATAGACAGTTGTTCATGATCAATTAGCTACTTTACTTTTCATCCCCGGTCCAATGGATTGGATGTCATAAATCTTTATCATCCTTCTATACAACTATTGAGTTCAGTGTATCCTTTATTTGGTTTAAGAATGAAAAACCTAATAAAGAAACGAGTGAGAAAGAGGTGAAATAGAGAAAGAGTTGCCAAATAGTATAAACTTTGTGACTAATAGAAGTTGATAAGAAATGTGAGATCCATCATTTCAATTCCTTACTCCTATTTCTTGTTGCAAAACAACAAAATTCTTCATTTATCTCCTACATTTCTCCGTTTCTTTCGTGCCTATTTCACATTACTCATAGAAAGAAGTAAAGGGAAAATAGAAAACATTTACCCTCCCTCGAGGTGCTCCTTGAATACCCGATCAAATGCACGACAGAGTTCCAAAATAGTATATAAATGGGCCTATAATGAGAAAACACGAGTAGATACTGTCAGTCAAGGCTGAAAGCTGGACGGGTGTGGGAAAATTGAAAACATTCTCACCCCTGCATCAATAGCTACAGGTCTGCCAAGATGATTCAATTCTGTTTCAAGCTCATCAGCACTTGTATTAATAAGAGACAATATAGCCGGTAAATGAGCCTTGATCACAGATTCTAGACGCTGTAAAAAACATAGTTGAAAATGATGGCATATGAGTATCCAACTATCCATGCGGTTACATTAATAGGGTGTTTGTTCGGGGGGTGGGGGGTGGGGGGGTATTTGGATCTCACGTTAAACAATGTTTTAAACCAATAGGAGATGAATCACTTTCTCTCCCCTACTCTCCAACGCACCCTTTTGGGTTTTTATTTCAAGGTTTAAGCAACACAAAAGGTAACACAGTATGTGTACCTGAGAAAGCATTTTTGCAAGATATTCTGATCCCATCCTGCTGGCTAAATGTTTGTAATCTGGACTCTTAGCAAAGAATTCTCGCTCTTTACGCCTTGCAACAATCATGTCAACATTTCTGTTAATGTCTGCCTGTGAACGATTAACAACTCCAACCCAAGGATGTTGAAGCCGATAAGATCTTCCTTCAAGAACCTTCATTAAGGCAGCAAACCTTCAAAATTCTAAATAAGAAATGCATATAGGAACACACACATACACCAGCATAAACAGGAAAGTGACAACCTTATGTCCTAAATGTTTTGTGTGGACCTAAGACTTGAAGAGGAAAGACATTTTCATATGCTAAAGTGAAAAGGGGCTGCTTGAGTTTCACAGAGCAGACCATGGAATTAAAAATATATGGAGTAAATAATTATGGCTTACATCCAATGCATTTGTTCCCTTGTCCATCAAATCAAGCTTTGTTAACACACCTATTGTACGGTCACCTACACAAGGAACAACTGGATAAGTTATCTCCTATTGGTGCACAGGTCAATGAGCTAATGGCTTATTAAACAATACAGAGATGACACCCAAAGGAATCTCCAAATATACAAAGTAGATAATACCTGTTGGATCAACTTCTCGAGCTATCTTAATGGCATCAGATGTTGCAACATCCTGATTGGCCGGAGTTATAGCTAAGATGATGCAGTTGGGCTGAAGCATGAGAAATAATATTCAATTGGAAATGTAATGAACTCATGATATGGGGAGGCAGTTATCACTAGAATAGTTTAAAGTCAAAATTAGATAGCAGTAGACAGTCTTATGAGTCTAATTTTGATTACTTCGTATTATTTTCAAATCAGTAAGTTCAATTGATAATATATGTAACATGTTGCTGGATCATCACTTAAAACAAATATACAAACACTGAGCCTTGCATACAAGGAAAAATAGTTCCAGAAGATCAATCAAAGAAAATCTCAATACATTCATTAGTCATATAAAATATTAATTTCATTAGTGAAGCCTCTTCCGATTGTTGTACCTTTTCAACATATGATCTAACCATGTTCTCAATTTCATGAACAATGCTCTCGGGCTGGCCCTCTGCATAAAACAGTCACCACTCCCCAGTAATTACTAATAAGAGAATAGTAAAAAGAGTAATTAAGAAAGATAAACTGACAAATTAAGCTTGCAGAAACATACCCACAGCAACATTAGTAAGCCCAGGCAAATCTACCAATGTCAAGTTAACAACTGCCAAATATTATAAATCATAAAAAAAGAGTGAGCTAACAAGAATAAATAACCGACAGATAAAATCATAATAAATTTATAGATTTTAGCAAAACCAGTCACATTAAGATTCTTCAAATAAGAATAATTTCTATATGCTAATTTTCATTTTTGTATAAAAGTAAGAAGGATATGCAGTTACTTGAAAATATATGCTACAAAAGTATGTTAGAATGCACTGTATGCATAAAACACAAATGAAGGCTAAGGACACCAGCAAAGATATAATTGAAAGAGCACAACACTCAAGCTAACCAATTAGGAATTCAAACTGGCAGGTTCCACTGTATTGGAGTAATCATAAACTAATTCAGAAAGCCAAGGGAAAGAAAGGCTGCCTCTTTAAAAGATAGGGCAAGTTAAGGAACAATACCATTTGGAGAGTAAATGCTAAGGTTAATAGGAAGAGGAGAAATGTGATTTGGCTTCCCAGTGACCCTGTCGGTTTCTTCTTTAATCTCCTTTGTAACCAATGCTTCATAAAAATCCAGAGAATGATGAATGATTACATCAGATAAAGAATATCAACCACTTAAATCTCCATGTACATGTTTCTGTTTGTTTACAAAATTACAGTCCAAAAGTGGAGACCTAATATCCAAAATTGAATAGTTGAGTAAAAACAAACCCCAATGCACAATTGTTCCTTTCATGTAACTTACAAAACTCTGTATATTTTTTATTTCCGGAATGAAGGAACTGTGCATAATCCTGTTGCCCTTGTTCCGTCTTGTATAGTTGCAAAATAAGTGGCCTCCTTGTCACAATTCCTGCCAAAAGGAGCCTTGAAGTACTATGTAGAAGAAAACAGCAGTTACATATTACTGCTTGGAGTACAGATTTTTACTAGAAGAGCAGCACAACCTATACATAATGATATCATCTTTATGATTTTGTACTGAGGATTTCAACAATATAACTAGCTAGAAGTCCAGTTGTTGATAACACGAAATTCAAAAAAAAATCTCCAAATTACTAAAATTAACTCCACCATACCTGATCCTCTGGGAAGAAAATCACGCCCTACAATACTCTCCAAAGCGGACGACTTCCCGGAACTCTGCACCCAAGCAGAACAATTCATCAATCCAACCGGCCAGAATTCACACAACCAGAAAACAACACAGCAAGTTAAATTCGATCAATGCATGAACAATTGCACACACGAAGATCCACAGACACGCCGATCAGATGAGCATACTGAGCAGTAGAAACACACAAAGCGTGAAATCAAAGCTGTCGCACATAGAAATATAATGTGGACACACAGAGAGCATACGTGATACATGTGTATATACGCGATAGAGAAGAAGTAGAGATAATGGAGATCGGGGAGGACTGATGATTACTTGGCCGCCGAGGACGACGATGGTGGGGAGAGCGTCCCAGAGAGTAGGCAATGTCCGATCATCGCCATAGTCTCCGAGCACCGTGCAGGCCTTCTGAATCCGATTAACAAGCGCGATCAAGCCGTCCATTCCGGGACGAAGCTCGGGAAGTAGCAGAGCACAAGCAGAAGACGCAGAAGAGAAGGGGATGAGAGTGGGAGTCGTAACGGAATGAATGTACGTATTTTGGTTATTTATTTAAATTCAAATAGTGAATAATCTGAAACGGTTTGGATACGGTTGGCGCACGTGAATGCGGCGGCGTCTTCACCGGGTCATGAATCGTTCGAGTTCGGCCGGGGACGAAGAGATATTATCATTGCATTAATTTGAATAAATAAAAAGGCGGATTCTGTTAATTTTTCTTGCATGTCCATCTTTTTGGCCGGAGCAACATCAAGGTTGATATTCCTTCAATTCCCCCCCAAAAAAAATCATTATTAGAGCATTTAGAATGTCAAAACAAAAATGAAATACAAAAATGAAATGTCACACGGTGACATGGATTATTTCAACTAATAAAAAGTAACTCGGTCATTGTATGGCAAATGAGTGGAGTGTCATAACATACAGTGACAAGTCGTTGTTTATGTCTAATTTTGCACTTTTTAATAATTTTTAATTATAAAAAATTATTTTAAAAATTCATTTTATTATTAAAATATGTTTACTTCTTTTAAAAAATATTTTTTTCAAAAATTACAAATATTAAAAAAATAAAAAATGAAAGAGTCATGCCTTGCACATGGAATGAAAAGTGGGTAGAATAGCCATGGAATGCCATGATTTGAGTGGAATTTGCTGACATGGCAAGACAAGGCATTGCCTTGCCATTGTGAATGCTCTTATTCGATAGTGCTAGTCATATCCGCTAAAATACTAAATACACCACGTTAACTAAATACGCTCATGATGTACAATTATGTTATTATTTAAAAAAATTATATATACTTTTTAAAATTAAAACAGACATTTTAAATATATTTTTAGAATTATCAACCATTTATTTTATTTTGTAACTTTTCAAAAAGAATTATATGAGTTTTAGAACTAACTTTAAAATATTTTGAAGCTGTTATTTTAATTACTAATTGATACAAAATAAAAAAACTTTTATTATTCTTGACCAATAATTTTGTATAAACTTTCCATTTCTAGGTATTATACCAATATGTATTTCATATTCAAATTTTTTAATCTAAATGATTATTTTAAAAAGCTGCTTATGTAAGTTTTATTATATTTTTTAAAAATATAAAAAGCTATATATAAAATTCAAAACTACACGCCATTTTCCTTTTTATTGCTTTTAAAAAACAAAATTATATTTAAAATTTAATAAATGTGCATCATTATTAACACTACAATTTTATTTTAAAGCTATCATATCTTATTATAAAAAAAGATTTAGATATTGCATGCTAATATTTATTAGAAAATTAAATAAAAAACTAAATATTATAATTCAAAATATAATTTTACCGATATGTTACAAAGTAAAAAATTTAGAATATATAAAAATCCATATGAAGCACAAGCTTAAAACACTACAAGAATTATCTCGCTTTGCGACGAACAAACTGCGATGGATTAATTCCATGGCACGTTGCGATAGAATTTGCGACAAATTTTAACTTTTCAGTCTTTTTAAAATGCCCTGCAGTCTGCGACAGATTTTTGTGTTCCGTCGCAATTTGCAACGGATTTTCCTTCCCGCCGTATTAGGAAGTATAATTAAATTAGGATACTTCTTTTCTATTAAATTAGGATACTTCTTTCCTTTCCTACTAGGATTATTCTTTCCTTTCCTACTTGTACTTTGATTACTCTTGTATTCCCTATATATAGGGCCATATCTCTCAATATTCAATAAGACAAGTTATTATCAAATTGTATCATGGTATCGGAGCTAAGGCTCTCAAAAACCTAGCCTCTCTTTTTTTTCCGACCACCGCCCACCATGGCAGCCCCGTCGGATCCTTTGGCGTCCTTACCCTCCGGAGTAAAACTTTTGCTTCAGAGTCTCCACAACTTAATCCCAGAAAAACTCACCGAAACAAATTATCCGGCATGGTTTCTCAATGTCCAGACAGCTCTTTCAGCTAATCTCCTCCTTGGATGGATTGATGGTCATGAAGCAACCCCGGCGCCAACTATCTCCAAAAACGATAAAACCGTCCCTAATCCAGAGTATACCTCCTGGACCATCGTTGACACACAGATCTGCGTCTGCCTCCTAGCGGTCATCAGCCCCTCCGTTCACAAACATGCTCGCGGCTTCACCACATCTGCTGCCCTCTGGGATGCTTTGGCCGCACGATACAACTCCGTGTCCACCGCTCATGTTTATCAGCTTCGGGACAAACTCCACACTCTTCGTAAAGGTACCAAAACTATGACACAATACCTTGATGATGTGGCAACTATTCTCTCGGATCTCGATGCCTTGAAAGAAGAGATCCCTGAACGTGATGTGGTGAATGCTGTTATTCGTGGTCTTCCCACCGAATACTCATCCTTTAAGCAAAACATTCGCATGAACAATACCAATATTT